TATAAGTCGGAGGCAGCTAAGCCTTCCTTTCGGAGTTGCATGGCGAGGACGTCCGGTGGAGGTGGTAGGGATGAAAAATGGCCAGGAGTTTTTAGGAAGAACGAAGCCGATGATGGCAGATGCGGCGCGCGTTGTCAACTCTGGATGAGAGGTCACAGGGTTTCTTTTGGGCCATCGCTGACTGCAGCGAGATTTAAATGACTTGGTTCCATAAAATGTAATGGTGGCTGTGCCAAAGCCAGGGCACTCAATTAAATGTCACAGGGTGGCTCTCCTATTGCAGATCTGTCCACTTTCCACGACAGCCATGCATCTCACTGTGGCTAGCATTGTGCAATTTGTACAGCTGCAAACGCGATATTCTAGTGTTTCTGATATAGGAAGGTGTTTGTATGTTTTTTGGAGGGGTTGCAGCGCCTTTCACTACATTCACACCAAAGGGCTCCATTGCGGTGCAGTATGGCATGGGTGAATGTGCGTTGTGCCATTACAGCCCATTCATTATGAATGGGCTGCCACCGCACCACAACGGATGAATAAAACCTCTTTGCTTTGCCACAATACAATTGTGAATGGGCCCTTAAAGTTCTGTAGAGTTTGGGGGTGACCTCTTCTATCAATCTGCAGAGTTTGTGGTGACCTCTTTTTGTTCTGCAGAGTTTTGGGTCGCCTCTTTTATTATTTTGCAGAGTTTTGAGTCGCCTCCTTCTATTCTGTAGAATTTGGGGTGGCCTCTTCAATTAGTCTAGAGTTTGGGGTGACCTTTTATTCTGCAGAGTTTTGGGGTGCCTTTAGGGTATCTGCTGTCTCTTATGAGGTGTTTGCAGTCACCCGCAATCTCTCCTCATATTATTTGCAGCGTGTTTAGTGGGTGTTGGAGGGATTGGCAATATGGTCAGTCAAAATGGACTCTCGGACAGTGGCAGCGATGGGTGAGCACTGTGGCCAATGGTGATTTGTAAAACGCAGGTAAAATATTTAGTGATCAGCGCTGTAAGACGATAGCCGAGCCTCTCCTGGGCCCCCGTGGGGTGTTTGTGGGTGTTGGGGAGCCTGGTATTGTGAACCTGCTGAATGTTGGGGGGACGATTACTGGTTGTAAGGTTCACCTGCCGTCGCCCGCCTTTCCCTAGGCTGTGGGTTGACAGGTGACCCTCGGCAGGGTGTCGTTCAAGCAGCAGGTCGCTGTATCAGGTTGCGTGCTTTGCTCAGGGGGTTGTTACGAGCCCCTGGAAGGGAGCGGCAGGACACTCTGACCAAAGTCCTTTTCAACTGCGACCATAAACGCCGCGTTCCCGCCCCAGTTCAACTCCTTTGTGCGGTGGGTGAGGGGGAGGGGGGCTCTCGGCTCACCTGGGCACAGCGAACACTTTCTTCCGTGCGGCTGTCGGCAGCACGCCCCGTAGTGGCAGACAAGGACGATTTTAATCCTTTTTTTTTTCATGGCCCAAATCACTCCGACTTTTATGTATTTGACACGACGCAACCCCCCCTTCTCCCCCAACCGTTTTATGGGACTTTGGTGGTGTCCTACAGTTCCTACAGACGATCTGATAGTTCAACCTTTTTTTAAGTTCGTGATTTTGGAATACTAAAAACGAGCAGAGGTTTTGAAACATTTTTCAAACTTGCAGTACTGCAAAGTCACGATCAGAACTGGTGTCGGCACACAAGGATTCTAGGTAATCTTCAACCTCCTTTAACACACTTATCAATATTAATCAATGTCCCTAATCTTACTAATGTCTGATTATGATCGCCTTAAATTAGGTACCGCATGCGGCGTTCTCTGGACAACAGACGCAGTGCTCGCCTTTGTCTGAAATGCGTTGTATCTGCCTTTTTTTTTTTTCTTTTTGCCGTCCTGTGACATCGGATGGCCTATTGAATCTATATTGACAAATGCAAGACGGGAACAACGTTCCATTGCACCGACGCATTCAGGCGTGCTGTTACTGCATAGGGAGGGTGAATTGGGCACATCGCAAACGCAGCTGGGAATCCAAGTAGCGTTTTTGCGAACCGAAAAGGCGAGGTGTCCCAAATCGAGTACATTCTGTTCCTCGACCCTGCACTATAATGTGTTACGGCCTTGTAGCCGTATCATAGTGTTTCATAGTTTTTTTTCTGCTCAAGGTGTGGAGAATATCCTCTGCAGGGTTCTGGTCCATCCGAACACTTCAGCACCCCAACAAATGGGGCCTTGTAGTTTACGTCTGGCATACATATTTTCTGTGACCAAACCATTTGCCCGTACGCTGTACCTGCTCAATCACTGCTTCTCTACTGCCGCTTAGATGGGTTGATAAAAGTGACACAGATCCATCGATCTCAATCAATAGTGAATAATTGCCTTGTTGAGTCATCCGAACTCAGCCCAAGGAACCTAAAATCCACCGTTCTGATCTAGTCCGGGTGCTACTCGTTTTGCTGCTTAGTCTCGAAGGGGTTAAACGGCGTTCCGCACCACCTGAGCTTCGTCTGGGGTGCTGCCAGGTGGCGGTTGGCCAGGACCAGTTTTAATACCCCTTTAGCCTGCCTGGCATTTTTAACAGCTTTGAATAGAAGGCGTGCCCTGAAACCGTTGGCCCCATTCTCTTGACAGGCCAGGTGGGACGTGAATGGCCCTGCCTGTACGCCATCACCGGCACCTCCCCGGGACGCAGAGCTCTCCTCCCTGGCTTGTTGTGGAGATAATTGCGGGGCTCCGCTCCGTGACATACTCTGGCATCCGGCCGTGTAATTGCCAGGGAGATGATAATGGTCATTAAGATTCCTGCGATGTGAATCGGTTTTCCCGGTGTGACTCTGCATCGTGGCAGGCCCACGTGTGGCTCGGTGTAGCAGCGGGTCCTGCAGGCTCTTGTGGCCCACCATGTCTCTGCTCCTAAAGCGCTGCAGTTTATAAATAGGACATTGTTCACAAAGAAGCAGCTGAAATGACGAAATAGAACCGGAAATCTAATGCTTTCCTTCTGTGTAGAGGGAGAGAACGTAACGGGCGAACTCCTTGTCCCGACACCATCGCTGGCTATGTGCCTTTTAGCCCACATCGTCATGCTCATTGGTAGCACAGAACAAAGTACTGAAAGGCTTCATGGATTATGAGGTCCTGAGGAGCGGACCCTTGCAGCAAGGAGCAAATGACAATTCATCAGTATGTACCTGGCAGATAGAAGAGCGAAGGCACAAAGGGTGACATTCCGTAACAGAGTGTGTCATCCCAAACTAATTACATTGTGATTAATGAATCCGTCTGACGGCAGATCTTTATTTAGTTTAAAGCACATCCTTCTAGTTCTCATAGACCAGGGATGGCCAAACTGCGGCCCTCCAGCTGTGGTGGAACTACGAATCCCATGAGGCTTTGCATGATTCTCACAGCCACAGACATGACTCCCGGTAAGAGATGCTTCATGGGATTTGTAGTTTCACCACAGCTGGAGGGCTGGAGTTTGGCCATCCCTGTCTTAGACAGTTGCTACCGGTACGGGTGTCCCCGTCAGAAGTGTCCCCCCCTCTGATCCTGTTCACCAACAGAGGTGGTGAATCTCCCCAGCAGATGCAAAGACAGCAATATAAAGCTGTGGGGGGGGGGCAAATCCAAAATGCAAAAAAAGGAGACAAGTCTGTACATGAATTATAGACATAAGCATGCTTCCCTCGATCTGTCCCCTGCAGAAGATTCATTCCTCCAGCAGATGGTGCTGCTCTTTCCAGCTGAATGACGGCCAGTGTCATTTAACTTGCTTCCTGTGAGCCGTGGCTGTCAAGCACAAACGCTCCCTTGGGGTGCGTCATAACGTCGGCCTGGGCTCACAGTACGTACTGCACTGAATGGTTCTTGCTCATCAATGTGATCGCTGTTCAGTGCAGGAGTAAGGACCGTCCAGCGGTGCTACTGGATGAGATGAGGGCAGGTCTGTGATGTTACTGGGCCAAAAGACCTATGAAAAAGGTTTGCTTTAAAGTAAAACCATTTTTTTTTGCGTTGTTAGATCCCCTTCTGTGTAAAAAAACCAAAAAAAACCTAACCTCTACTTGTCCTTTCCAGACTCCAGCGCTGTCCCCGACTTCCTCCCGTCTCCAGCGCTGTCCCCGACTTCCTCCCGTCTCCAGCGCTGTCCCCGACTTCTTCCTCCCGTCTCCAGCTCTGTCCCCGACTTCTTCCTCCCGTCTCCAGCGCTGTCCCCGACTTCCTCCCGTCTCCAGCGCTGTCCCCGACTTCCTCCCGTCTCCAGCGCTGTCCCCGACTTCCTCCCGTCTCCAGCGCTGTCGCCGACTTCCTCCCGTCTCCAGCGCTGTCGCCGACTTCATCCCTTCTCCAGGGCTAAGCGGCGCTCACACATCATGCCCTGAGCACCACTCGGTCCTGGAAGAACATCTGCTTCCCCTGGTGTCTTTTAAGACTGCGTATGTGTAGGGTTTTTGTTCAAGTAAAAACCACTGAAGTTTCACATAACCTAAACTTGGAGTTCTACTTTAAGTAACCTGACTCATATGATAAGACATTGTATGTGGACTGAAAACACCAGTCAAAGTGTAAGGAGTGCTTGTGTAACAACTTAGGTGAGAAGAGTCGGTGTGCCAATCTGCAGTTCTGCGTAGTCGGTAAGCACATCCTTCGAGAGATGTCGGCAGCATCAACGCTTCGGATGCCCTTTCTCTGTCACTTGAGGTGTACAATGCACCCTGCACTAGCTGCATGGAAAATGTCGTCGCTCTTCTGCTCCTTATCTCGAAAAACAAGTTGAAGGATGCTCCGCCCCCTCCTTCCATTCCTCTTCCCCTCCACCCCCTCTCACCCCAACTTCAAAGGGGGCGCAGCACTTTCTCCCCTTAACACTTCTGGGAAGTTTGCTCGTGGGCGGCATTTTCACCAAACAAAAAAAAAAAGAAATTTGCCTTTTTTTGCGTTTTCATTGTCTTCTTTTTTTTTTTTTTGTTATCGAAGGGGTGGAATTTTGGGGTTTACATGTGTCGTTTTGTTTTGTCGGCAGCGATCGGCCAGGACAACTGTACTCGCGAAGGCTTGAGACTGGGACCGAAGGACGAGGCTCACCCCTCAGGTTAGTTGACCCAATAAACCAGTACAAATGTTTTATAAAGGGCACAGTCCCGGAAAGCCATATTTCAATGTGCTCAGAAAGTAATGAGAGCGATGAGACTGGTAGTCCTGTTCTCACCATGTTTTGTTACCTTAGCTTCTTCATTTTGGCCATGGAGATTTGGGGGCAGTGTTTGTTCTCCTGAGCCATGTATGGCCCACAGCACACCATTTTGTAACAGGCGGCCAGATCTGTGTGTTGTTTCTTGTTTCTGCTGTGCTGTTTCTTTCATTTCCTTTATGTGAGTCTTTGCCATCAATTGATAGTTCCGTGTTGCCTTCCTTGTACAGAGAAAATGGTGGTCTGAAGAGCATCAGATTAGGGGTTTTAAAGATCTGCATATGGGGGTCTAAAATTCTTGTAAGGTCAATTTGTGGCTCTTGTAGGTATTTGCTGACTTCTTGTAGCTTAGCAGTTGGTGGCCTCGGATTTCTGTAAATCATAATTAGAGGAAGTGGTCTCTGTATAAAATGGTCTTGTTACTCTAGAAGTGGTCGTCTCCGGGTCTGTATGAAGTCAGTTTAAGATTCCGTAGGTGGTGGCCTTTATTGGGGGGCTCCACTGACTCTGGAGCTGGTAGATTGACAAGACTGTCTAGAGTGGTCTCGTGACTCCAGAAGATGTGGTCCTAGTACCTGGATGAAGTGGTCTTGTGACTCTGGAGGTGGTGGTCTTGTGACTCTGGAGGTGGTGGTCTCAGTTCCTATATGAAGTGGTCTTGTGACTCTGGAGGTGGTGGTCTTGTGACTCTGGAGGTGGTGGTCTCAGTTCCTATTGAATGAGGTTACACTAAAATGGAGGTGATGGTCTCAGTTCCTATATGAAGTGACTTGGGAGGTGGTGGTCTTATTTCCTATATGAAGTGGTCTTGTGATTTTGAAGGTGGCGTCTCCTTTCTATATGAAGTGGTCTTGTGACTCTGGAGGTGGTCTCATTTCCTTTTATGAAGTGGACTTGTGACTCTGCAGGTGGTCTCCTTTCCATATGAAGTGGAGTTGTGATTCTGGAGATGATGGTCTCATTTCCTTTATGAACTGGTCTTGTGACTCTGGACATGGTGGTCTAATTTCCTTTATGAAGTGGACTTGTGACTCTGGCGTGGTGGTCTCATTTCCTTTTATGAACTGGTCTTGTGACTCTGGAGGTGGTGGTCTCATTTCCTATATGAAGTGGACTTGTGACTTGTTAGGTGGTGGTTTCACTTCCTATATGAAGTGGTCTTGTGAGTCTGGAGGTGGGGGTCTCATTTCCTATATGAAGTGGACTTGTGACTTGTTAGGTGGTGGTTTCACTTCCTATATGAAGTGGTCTTGTGAGTGTGGAGGTGGTGGTCTCAGTTCCTGTATGAAGTGGTCTGTGACTCTGGAGGTGGTGGTCTCATTTCCTATATGAAGTGGACTTGTGACTTGTTAGGTGGTGGTTTCACTTCCTATATGAAGTGGTCTTGTGAGTCTGGAGGTGGGGGTCTCATTTCCTATATGAAGTGGACTTGTGACTTGTTAGGTGGTGGTTTCACTTCCTATATGAAGTGGTCTTGTGAGTCTGGAGGTGGGGGTCTCATTTCCTATATGAAGTGGACTTGTGACTTGTTAGGTGGTGGTTTCACTTCCTATATGAAGTGGTCTTGTGACTCTGGAGGTGCTGGTCTCATTTCCTTTATGAAGTGGTCTTGTGACTCTGGAGGTGGTGGTCTCTTTTTTTTTCCCTAAATGAAGCGGTTGTGTGACTCGGGTGTCTCTTTAGCTGTTCATCTTGTAGTTGCCTACGATGTAGTTTAAGAAGGGTTACGAGTTTACTCTTGGGGTCTTTCCATGTGGTGATTTGTGAGGAATTGTATGGTTGGTCTTTTCAGGCCTTCTCTGATCTGGACTTCTGTATAGGATTAATAAATGTTCATTTAATGACTGCATCGTTTGTTGTTTCTATTACATGGCGGCAGATACATTACAGTAACCGAGGTGTAATAATATTTGTACTACCCAGTTTCTATCTGATGTTTTAGTGTTTATAGATCTAGTAATATTTCTACCAGATGTTCTTAATGCATCCGGTGTCTTACAATGTGGTTGTAGTATGTCGAAAAATGTGATTGTCGGGGGGCAGCTTATTGAACACAATATAGTGTTTCACCCTTTGTTGTGTGTATTTGTGACATCATGTACGTGTATGTGTGATTTATATATTTTTATAACGTTGATGATACCAGGCCCTCAAACTGCATGCAGTCCATTGTTCTATCTCCCTGTGATTTTTCTTTTTTGGCTTCCCAACAGCCATGAAAATGTAAAGGCCAAGCTAAAAGATCCTTTATATCCAATTCCTAGCCTATCAGGCAGACCAGCCAGCCATGGTGGTGGTTAAATCCAGTCAAGCACTATTTAACATGCAACTTTATATCCAGTACAAAAATAACAGTATTTTATTGTCGCACAAACCTAAAATGACAAAAAGTGACAAACTATTGTGTTATGTTATATTATTGTATTATAAACTCCCC